TTACATTAATTTCATGACTTTACTATTGTAAATAGTGCTGAGATAAACATACCAGTGCAGGCAGATATTGTTTTGATATGATGATTTTTGTTTCTGGAGTAAATACATAGCACTGGGATTGCTGGGTTAAATGGTAGTTCAATACTTAGTTCTTGAGAAATCTCCCTAAGGTTTTCCAAAGAAGTGGTACTAATTTACATTCTCACCAATGTTCCTTTCCTCTGTATCCTCACCAATATCAGTCATTTTTTGACATTTTAACAGTAGTCATTCTAATTGTTGTAAGGTAACATTTCATTGTGGTTTTAATTTGCATTTCTCTGATGATCAGCGGCATTATGCAGTTTTTTATGCTTGTTGTGGTTTGAATGTTTTTTTTAACTTTGTAATATATTTTACTTATTTTAGCTTTTTAATACATTTTAATTTTAATTATTAATTAATTAATTCTGTATTATACTTTAGGTTCTGGGATACATGTGCATAAAGTGCAGGTTTGTTACATAGGTATACATGTGCCATGGTGGTGTGCTGTGCCCACCAGCCCAGTATCTACATTAAATATTTCTTCTAATGGTATCCCTCCTGTTTCCCCCACCCACTGACAGGCCCTGCTGTGTGATGCTCTCCTCCCTGTGCCCATATGTTCTCATTGGTCAACTCTCACTTGTGAGTGAGAACATGCAGCATTTGGTTTTCTGCTCCTGTGTTAGTTTGCTAAGAATGATGGTTTCCTAGCCTCATTCTTGTCTTTGCAAAAGACATGAACTCATTCTTTTTTATGGCTAAGTTGTATTCCATGGTATGTATATTAGCCACATTTTCTTTATCCAGTCTAACATTGATGTTCATTTGGGTTGTTTCCAATTCCTTTCTGTTGTAAACAGGACTGACCTAAACATACATGTGCATGTGCCTTTATAGTAGAATGATTTATATTCATTTGGGTATATATCAAGTATTGGGATTGCTGGTGGTATTTCTGGTTCTAGATCCTTGAGGAAGGAATAATCACGCTGTCTTTCACAATGGTTGAGCTAATTTACACTCTCACCAACAGTGTAAAAGCATTCCTAATTCTCCACATCCTCTCTAGCATCTGTTGTTTCCTGACTTTTTCATGATCACCATTCAAACTGGTATGAGATGGTATCTCATTGTGCTTTTGATTTGCATTTCTCTAATGACCATTGATGATGAGCTTTTTTCCCTCTATTTGTTGGCTGCATTAATGTCTTCTTTTGGAAAAGTTGTTCGTATCCTTTGCCCCATTTTTGATTTTTTTTTCTTGTGAATTTGTTTAAACTCCTTGTAGATTCTGGATATTAGAGCCCTTTGTCAGGTGAATAGAGTGCAAAAGTTTTCTCCCCTTCTGTAGGTTGCCTGTTCACTCTGATGATAGTTTCTTTTGCTGTGCAGAAGCGCTTTATTTTAATTAGATCCCATTTTTCAATTTTGGCTTTCATTGCCATTGCTTTTGGTGTTGTAGTCATGAAGCCTTTGCCCATGCCTATGTCCTGAATGGTAGTGCCTAGGTTTTCCTCTAGGGGTTTTGGGGGTTTAGGTCATATGCTTAATTCCCAAATCCATCTTGAGTTAAGTTTTGAATAAGGTCTGAGGAAGGGTTCCAGTTTTAGTTTTCTGCATATGGCTAGCCAGTTTTTGCAACACCACTTGTTAAATAGGGAATCCTTTTCCCATTGCTTCTTTTTATCAGGTTTGTCAAAGGTCAGATGGTTGTAGATGTAAGGTGCTATTTCTGTGGCCTCTGTTTTGCTCCATTGGTCTATATATCTCTTTTGGTACAGTACCATAATATTTTGGTTACCATAGCATTGTAGTATAGTTTGATGTCAGGTAGCATAATGCCTCCAGCATTGTTCGTTTTGCTTAGGATTGTCTTGGATAGACGGGCTCTTTTTTAGTTCTATATGAAATTTAAGGTAGTATTTTTTTTAATTAGTGGATAAAAGTCAATTGAAGCTTGAGGGAAATAGGATTGGATCTATAAATTACTTTGGGCAGTATAGTCATTTTCTCAATATTGATTTTTTTTTAATCCATGAACATGGAAAGTTTTTCCATTTGTGTTCTCTCTTATTTGCTTGAGCAGTGATTTGTAGTTCTTCTTGAAGAGGTCAATCACATCCCTTGTAAATTGCATTCCTAGGTATTTTATTCTCTTTCTGGCAATTGTGAATGAGACTTTGCTGATGATTTGGCTCTCCATTATTGGTGTATAGGAATGCTTGTGATTTTTGCACATTGATGTCACTCCCACACAATAATAGTGGGAGACTTTAACAACCCACTGTCAAAATTAGGCAGATCAATGAGACAGAAAATTAACATGGATATACAGGACTTGAACTCAGCTCTGGACCAAGCAGATCTAATAGATGGCTACAGAACTCTACACCCCAAATCAACAGAACATACATTCTTCTCAGCACCACATAGCACTTATTCTAAAATTAACCACATAAATGGAAGTAGAACATTCCTCAGAAAATGCAAAAGAACAGAAATCATAACAAACAGTCTCTCAGCTCACAATGCAGTCAAATTAGAACTCAGGATTAAGAAACTTACTCAAAAATGCACAAGTACATGGAAACTGAACAACCTGCTACTGGATACCTACTGGGTAAATAACAAAATTAAGGCAGAAATAAACAATTTTTTAAACAAATGAGAACAAAAACCCAACATACCAGAATCTCTGGGACACAGCTAAAGCCACGTATAGAGGGATATTTATATCACTAAATCCCCACAGGAGTAAGCAGGAAAGGTCTAATATTGACATCCTAACATCGCAATTAAAATAATTAGAGAAGCAAGAGCAAACAACATAAAAAGCTAGCAGAAGACAAGAAATAACTAAGATCAGAGCAGAATTGAAGGAGACAGAGACACAAAGAAACCTTTGAAAAAATAAATGAATCCAGGAGCTGGTGTTTTGAAATGATTAACAAAATTGATAGATCTCTAGACAGTCTAATAAAGCAGAAAAGAGAAAAAAATCAAATAGATTAAAAAAATGATAAAGGGATATCACCAATGGTCCCTTAGAAATACAAACTACCATCAGAGAATACTATAAACACCTCTAGGCAAATACACTAGAAAATCTAGAAGAAGTAAATAAATTCCTAGACACATCCGCCCTCCCAAGACTAAACCAGGAAGAAGTCAAATTCCTGAGCAGACCAATAAGTTCTGAAATTGAGGCAGTAATCAATAGACTACCAACCAACAAAGCCCAGGACCAGACGAATTCACAGCCAAATTCTACCAGAGGTACAAAGCGTAATTAGTACCATTCCTTCTGAAACTATTCCAAACAACAGAAAAAGAAGGACTCCTCCCTAACTCATTTTATGAGGCTGGCACTATTCCGATACCAAAATCTGGCAGAGACACTACAAAGAAAGAAAATTTCAGGCCAATATCCCCGATGAACATCAATGTGAAAATCCTCAATAAAATACTGGGAAACCGAAACCAGCAGCACATTAAAAAGCTTATCCACCACAGTCAAGTCAGCTTCATCCCTGGGATGAAAGGCTGGCTCAACATACACAAAGCAATAAGCATAATCCATCACATAAACAGCACCAATGACAAAAACCACATGATTATTTCAATAGAGGCTGAAAAAGCCCTTGATAAAATTCAACACCATTTCATGCTAAAAACACTCAATAAACAAGGTTTTGCTGGAACATATCTCAAAATAATAAAAGCTATTTATGACAAACCCATGGCCAATATCCTGAATGGGCAAAAGCTGGAAGCATTCCCTTTGAAAACCAGTACAAGACAAGGATGTCCTCTCTCACCACTCCTATTCAACATAGCATTGGAAGTTCTGTCCTGGGCAATCAAGCAAGAGAAATAAATAAAGGGTATTCAATAGGAAGAAAGGAAATCAAATTATCTCTGTTTGCAGATGACGTGATTATATATTTAGAAAGCCCCATTGTCTCAGTCCAAAATCTTCTTAAGCGTATAAGCAACTTCAGCAAAGTCTCAGTATGTCTTCTATGAGAAATGTCTGTTCATAAGTTCTAACTTCTCTGTGTTTGGTATAAAGGAGAGAAATTATTAATATTTAAATATGCATTTTCTATAATATATAGTTATACAAGTTCCCCAAATGTTATACATAGATCTAAATTTCTTGTCAAACCCTTTGATCCAATTTTTTTATTATTTATATATGTTTATGAATGTAAATGTTTTCAGAATGACATTAAATTTGATTCTTAAGTATTAAGTAAATATTCTACATACTAATTACATTTTAAATCATTTATATTAAATTTTAGGATTATGAAGTCATTTATTTATATTTGTGCTAAAAAGTTTTGAAAATCAATCACATAAAGCAAGAAACTTAGATATAAAACCGTCTGAAATTATGCTAAAACAATTACATACAGTCATTTTGGCCAATTATGAACCACATATATGACAGTTGTCATATAAAATTGTAATGGAACTAAAAAATTCAATTTTGCCTAGTGACTTTATAGCCATCATAACATCATATCACACTTATTATTGTTTTTCTAAATGTAGGACAGTTTACGTTTTTAGTGTTTATAAAGTCTACAGTAGCGTACAGTAATGTCCTAAGACTTCATAGTCTCTTACTGTTTGGTAGAAAGTCCCGCCATCTTTCCCCCAGGTTTCTTGCCCCCACCCTCCCCCCAGGCTTCCTGCTGCCCTGAGAAAAGCCCGCCAAGCCTGCTCTGTTCTGCCCAGCAACAACAAGCAGCCAATCATCGCAGCAGGAAAGCCCGCCAAGCCTCGGCCTATCCTGAACCGACACGTAACCCTCTGAGCCACCTCAGCAGTCTGCCCAGAGACGGACAGCCTATCCTAAGCTCCTATGACACTCCGCCAGCCCTGTGTCCACGCCCCGTCCACCCCCCTATAAAACCCTCCTACCCCAGCTGCGCAGTCACAGCCAGCCCCGATCTCCTTCCTTTCCTGGCCTGCCCACTGGTCCCAATAAACCTGAACTCGGCTTCCAACTCTCGAGCTGTTATTTGGGGTCAGGTACCAGGCAGGGGTCTACAAGGGGGTCGCACATATGGTGCCGAAACCCGGGACGGAGGGTCGCTAGCCCCCCTAGTGACCCCCTCCCTCCAGCGACCTCCCCAGCCCTCCTCCAATTCGGCCTCAGCACTCCGGACCAGGTAAGTCCTGTTTCTTAACTTCTCCTTTCGTGGTGCATGTGGCAAAGGCCCTTCCTCTCAGTCCCAATCCATGGATCCCTCGCCAAGCGCCGGCCGGACCGAGCAGGATCCCCCAACCAGGCTCCAGGAGCCTTGGGTCGGCAGACAAGGGACGCCTTCTCTGACCCACCCAATCCAAATCCATTAAATAGGAACGATCAGACAGGGGACGCCTTCTCTGGTCTTTCCTATCCACCTTCCTCTGGGGAAGCTGGTGGGTTGGAGGGACGCCTCCCCCCACACTACCCCAGCCCACTCGGATACTGTTCCGAGCTCGGATACTGTTCCGAGACCGCCCTTGGCTGGCAGGAACACTTTGCCGCACGCATCATGGGGAATGTGGAGTCCAAAATTCCTAAAAACGCCCCACTAGGTTGTTTACTTCTCGACTTTACCCGCTTGGGCTACTCCCAAAACCCTTAGGCGGAAAAAGCTTGTCTTCCTCTCCCAGGTGGCCTGGCCCCAGTATCAGCTCGATAACAGGTCGCATTGGCCTCCCACCGGCACTTTCAATTTCAATGTGCTCCGCGACCTAGATAACTTCTGCCGCCGAACTGGCAAAGATAAGGAAGTGCCTTATGTTCAGGCTTTTTGGGACCTGTGTTCCCATCCTGACCTCTGCTCTTCTTGCTCCACTCACCAAGTTCTTTTAGCTCGAACTCCCCCACCGCAGACTCCTACCTCCCCAACCAAGCCACCTCCCTATACTCTACAGGAAGAGATGCCTGACCACATGTCTTCCCCCTTCGTTCCCACTCCAGAAGTCCACTACCTCTCCCCCTCCCTACTCCTCACCAGAGGATCTGCCTGAACATCTATCCTCTCCTGCCAATCTCAGCAACCAGTCGCCATCAACGGCACGCTCTTCCTCTGCTCCCTCTGCACCTCCTACCTCGGAGGCCATGCCTCGCTCTCCCTCTACTCCCTCCGAGCCCGCTCCCTCAGAGGCCGCACTTCCTCTTGCCTCTCCGGTGGCGGCCCACACCCGCTCCCACCAGCCAGCTATCTTGGCCCCACTCTGAGAAGTAGCAGGCGCAGAAGGTTTAATCAGGGTCCACGTTCCTTTCTCACTCCAAGACCTGTCCCAAATTGAGAAACGTTTAGGATCCTTCTCAGCCGACCCGTCCACCTATATTAAGGAATTCCAATACCTCACTCAAGCCTACAGCCTCACTTGGCATGATATTCGCATTATCTGTTCCTCCACCCTCACAGTGGAGGAGCACTAGCGCATCCTTGCTGCAGCCAGAAACCAAGCAGATAAAGACCATGCTATAGATAACCAGATCCCCCTAGGCCCCGAAGCAATCCCAGGTGAAGACCCCCAGTGGGACTATCAGGGGAATGGATGCTGTATCTAACAAAGTTGTAAACTATGATAAACTGAGAGAAATCACCCAACTACCTGATGAGAACCCCGCCCTCTTTCTCGCCCGCTTGTAAGAAGCCCTAGTCCAGTATACTCGACTAGATCCAGCCCTTCAAAACGGGGCCACTGTATTAGCCTCCCATTTTATCTCCCAATCAGCACCCGACATAAGAAAGAAACTAAAGAAAGCAGAAGAGGGGCCAGAGATTCCCATCCAAGACCTGGTAAAAATGGCCTTTAAAGTATTCAATGCCAGGGAAGATGCGGCTGAGGCTGCCTGCCAAACTCGCATGAAGCAGAAGGCTGCCCTCCAGACCCAAGCCCTAGTGGCGGCTCTAAGGCCGGCAGGGAACCAGAAGCCCAAGGCCGAAACCCATGCCCCTCTGGGAGCATGGTTTAAATGTGGAAAGGAAGGACACTGGTCCCGAGCCTGTCCACAACCACGGCCACCAACTAAGCCTTGCCCTATCTGTCAGCTCCCGGGACACTGGAAGTCAGACTGCCCCAGCTTCCCCAGGGTGCCGGTTCCTCAAAACAGACACACTGGCATTACTCAGCCGGCAGTCACCCTCAGTAGGGAGGAGCCTGCTTGCCAGGAGCCGACCTCCGAGGGAACTCCATTCCCCAGGCTATTAGGGCTGCTAGAGGACTAGCAGGGTCCTGGCTTTCCGACTCCGGTTACCCTTGCCGAGCCTAGGGTCACAAGACATGGGGGCTACCTCCTCCGCTCTTCCTTCTTATTCTGGCCGTCTCACCCCTTCCCAGGTCTCGGTCATGGAAATCGATGGGACCCCGAGTATCCCCTACCAAACCCCACCACTCATGTGCTCATATAACTCCACTCCATTCACCCACTCTTTTTAGTAATCCCCACCTGCCCAGTTCCCCTTCTGGGGCGAGACATCCTTTCAAAGCTGAAGGCCGTCATAACCTTCCCCACCGCCAGCCCACACAGCCTCTTTCTCCTAGCCCTCAATACTCTGCCTCAGAATTCCAGACCCTCCAGTCTACCCCCGGGGTACAGTTCAAGGATGACTTGGCCTTCAAGCATAACCTCCTCATCCTCCCTGAAAAGCAAAGGTACCAGATAATCCAAGACATCCATAATTCACTCCACATTGGGCCTAAAGCCTTATACCGATTCCTCAACCCACTTTTCACCCTCACCATCTCCTCAGTACCATACAGGAAGTCCAGTCCTCATGTACTGTCTGCACAAAAACTAATTCCCAGGGTTCCTGTCATCCTCGGCGCCAGCTTTATCAGCTACGCGGGTTCCTACCTGGCCAAGACTGGCTAATTGATTTCACCCATATGCCAAAGCATAAACAGTACCGGTATCTGCTGACCATTGTTGACACTTTTTCAGGCTGGATTGAAGCTTACCCCACAGCCTCTGAGTCTGCCGGGACAGTAGCCACTCATCTCATTCAAGACATCATCCCACGCTTTGGACTCCCGGCTACCATACAGTCAGACAACGGCCCAGCCTTTATCTTCAAAGTCACTAATGCCGTTTCTACCTTTCTAGGAATTCAGTGGAAGCTACACGCCGCCTACCATCCTCAGTCCTCTGGTAAGGTGGAATGGGCCAATGGCCTAATAAAGGAGCATCTGACCAAGCTCATGCTTGAGCTCCGCCAATCCTGGGTAACCTTGCTTCCTATCGCCCTCACCAGGTTGAGAGCAAGCCCCCGGGGCCCATCACAGCTTAGCCCGTTTGAGCTGCTATATGGTCGCCCCTTCCTACTTTCAACTCCCCCACCGCCAGAGACCACTCCTCTAGACAGCTACCTCCCCTACTTTACTCTCCTTCGCAGCCTTCTCCGAGAACACGCCAATGCTTCTCTTCCCCAACCCACCCAGCCATCTGAAAATACACAGAAAGTCTCCCCCAGGGACTCAGTTCTTATCAGGTCCCTCTCCCCAAAGCCCCTCACCCCCAAGTGGGAAGGACCATACACAGTCCTCCTTACCACTCCATCAGCTATAAGAGTTGCTGAAATCCCATCTTGGGTCCACCTGTCTCGGGTAAAAAAGGCCCCTCATGGACCCTCCTTATGCTAGAAGACTGTTCCTACTGGCCCTTTATCTGTCAAACTTACCAGGGCCTAGCAGCCACACCCCCTACAGATGGAGATTCTTCCTAACTGAAAACTATACCAAAACCACCTTCATCTGTAATACCCCTCCATACAGCCACAACCATCTTCTTGCAACTTCCAACTGCCCCGCAGCCAGATGCCAAAGGGCCATATATCTGAACTTCACCAAATTCCATAACATCCATACTGATATACCCCTCATGTGCTTCAACCATGACCAACCATCAGGAGCATGCAATAATACTCCTTGGCGCTCCTGCATGGGATGTACTTGGATGAACTGTCGACTACATATAGCTGTCAAGTCCACAGTACTTGCCCGATCTCAGCTCAAAATCATCCCAGACATAGATGGAGAAGGAAACACCGTTATCGGTTCTACACGGTATTCCATTCTCATACCTGACCCCTGGGACAACTGGTGGAAAAGCCCCCAGAAAGCTGCCGTGTATGACCACAAAGATACCAAATATCCTCCTTCCCACCTGTACATCTGGCGGACATACGTACGTACAGTCCACCAAGTCCACTCTGATATTAGCCTACAAGAAAAATCTCTGAATGACCAATTGCAACCACATTCGTCTCCGTTTTCCTGGTTAACTTTTCTCCAAGAAGGAATCAAGTTAGCTAACCTCTCAGGACTAACTGACCTAACTTCATGCCTCATGTGTGCCTTCTTAGGACAGACTCCCTTCGTTGCAGTCCCTTACCCCATCCCTCTCAACCTTTCAGCCTCAACTTCTTCCTTCTCCCCCGTCAGGGAAGTCGATCTCTACACTCCACCTGATTTTGGACAGCTACCTGTGTGCTATTCCCTAGGCCGAAACTTCCCTAGCTGTAACAGAACTATACTGGTAACCACTAATATAACAGCCCCACGAGGAATGTTTTTTTGGTGTAACAGGACCTTAACAAAAACTCTCTACATTGGCCTTTCCTCATCTCTTTTATGCCTCCCAGTAACCCTAGTCCCTCGACTCACTATATATTCTTCAGCCGAATTCCAGATGCTGGAAGCTCCCCATCGCCGCACCTGACGAGCTGCCTTCCTACCCATTGCCATTGGAGTCTCCCTTGCTGGTTCAGCACTTGCAGCAGGATTAGGGGGAGGGGCACTAGTCCACTCTCACCTGGCCATAGCCCGACTGACCTCACAACTCCAAGCAGCTATCGATGACTCTACTGAGTCTTTAGCATCACTCCAATGACAGATCACCTCAGTTGCCCAAGTTGCCTTGCAGAACTGAAGAGCCCTAGACCTGCTCACTGCTGAACGAGGAGGAACCTGCATCTTCCTACAAGAAGAGTGCTGTTACTACATCAATGAATCCGGCCTAGTAGAAACCCGAATCGAGAGCCTCCAGAAACTCAAAACTAGCCTGCAGAGTCAGAAGTTCTCGGCTGAAGCCACAGCGTGGTGGTCTTCCTCTATGTATACCCTCTCGTCCCCATTGCTTGGGCCCCTAGCAGCCATTTGCCTAATTTTACTTATTGCTCCTTGCTTTCTACAGTTCATACAGCGGCACTTTCAAGAACTGACTCGAGTCACCATCCACCAGATGCTGCTCCAACCCCACCCTGAACAAGTGCAAGAAACAGACCTCTCCCTGAACATCCAGGCTCCTTAAGAAAAGAGACCTCTTCAGAACCCCCCCGTCGACCCTTGTCAGCAGGAAGTAGCCAGATCGATTCCGCCGCCCTTTTTCCTTTTTAAGGAGTCAGGAATGTTTGGTAGAAAGTCCCGCCATCTTTCCCCCAGGTTTCTTGCCCCCACCCTCCCCCCAGGCTTCCTGCTGCCCTGAGAAAAGCCCGCCAAGCCTGCTCTGTTCTGCCCAGCAACAACAAGCAGCCAATCATCGCAGCAGGAAAGCCCGCCAAGCCTCGGCCTATCCTGAACCGACACGTAACCCTCTGAGCCACCTCAGCAGTCTGCCCAGAGACGGACAGCCTATCCTAAGCTCCTATGACACTCCGCCAGCCCTGTGTCCACGCCCCGTCCACCCCCCTATAAAACCCTCCTACCCCAGCTGCGCAGTCGCAGCCAGCCCCGATCTCCTTCCTTTCCTGGCCTGCCCGCTGGTCCCAATAAACCTGAACTTGGCTTCCAACTCTCGAGCTGTTATTTGGGGTCGGGTACTGGGCAGGGGTCTACAAGGGGGTCGCACACTTACCACTTACTCACTGACTAATCCAGAGCCACTTCCAGTCCTGCAAGCTTTGTTCATAGTAAATGCCCTATACAGGTGTACCATTGTTTATATTTTATACCATATTTGTTCTTTTTCTATGTTTATATGTGTTTAGATACATAAATAAATACTATTGTGTTATAATTGTCTATAGTGTTCAGTACAGTAACATACTGTACAGATTTGTAGCCTAGGAGCCATAGGCTAGACCATATATACTGGCTGTGCAGTAGTATATATGGTCTAGCCTATGGCTCCTAGGCTACAAATCTAGATTTTGTAAATACACTCTACAATGTTTGCGTAATAACAAAATCACCTAACATTAATTATATCTGTATTATCGGAATAGGCCATTGTATGGTAATCATATTACCTTTTAAAAACACAAATTTTTTTTATAATTAAATTTGAAAGACAGAATGGACACATTCATAGCAAGTAAGATAAAGTCCCCTCAATCCTGTGATTGATAGCATTTAGTGTTTTTCATGTTCCAGGTATTGTCTTAAGAGCTTTATGCAGGTTTATTAATTTAGTTCTTTTTTTAAAAAAATTGTTATTTTCATGTTACTGGATTTTACTTCAACTTTTAAAATACTTGAAAAGAAAAAAGAAACCACCACTTTCTTTGCTCATTCATGAGAAGCAACTCATCTGTTCAAGTTTGATCATGAGATTGCAGCAATTCAGGCACATTATCAGGCTTCACTTCTAATACTAGCTATCTTGCTCTTTCTAACACATCTGCAGTGACAGATGGAATTATTATATCTCTTTTACAGGTGGTGCAATATAGGCATAAAGAGCTTAAATATCCTCTCTGAAATCCAGAAGTAGCAAATTCAAAAGTCAAAATTGTAACCCTAGTGCTCTCATGAAAAAGACACTTAATCTTCTTTATTGTTGCCTTCATTAAGGAGTTAAAAGACTGGGCGTGGTGGCTCATTCCTGTAATCCCAGCACTTTGAGAGGCCAAGGTGGGAGGGTGACCAGGTCAGGAGATCAAAACCATCCTAACCAACATGGTGAAACTCTGTCTCTACTAACAATACAAAAATTAGCTGTGCTTGGTGGCGTGTGCCTGTAGTCCCAGCTACTGGGGAGGCTGAGGCAGGAGAATCACGTGAACCCAGGAGGTGGAGGTTGCAGTGAGCTGAGATCAGGCTACTGCACTCCAACCTGGCAACAGAGCAAGACTCTCTCAAAAAAAAAAAAAAAAGGAGTTAAAAGATACACATGACAATGGAGTAGGGAGTGACCAGGTAGATATCAATGATAAAGGAAAGAAAACGAGGAGAATCATTATTGTTGAAGTCATAAATTAAGTCATAAATTCTGTTTAACTGAGAGGAAACAGGAAACTCTAGACTAACGGAATTCAATAAATGTGAATGTTGCATCTCTAATGAGCAAATTGACTTGTGGTTTTATCCTTTTATAAATTGTTTATGTTCTATCTTGGTCTAGTTTGTATAATTAAAATATTAGTGATTTTTGCAGTTAGTTCAATACAAAGATGAAATGTGTAAATCCCGTTATGAGTATGTGGCAGATAGTAAGCACTCAATAACTAATTATTTAATTTCCTAGGTTATCTTAGCAATCTGCAACAATATATTAAGAACAGCACCAACAAAACTACATTTCTCTGTCATTCTGGGCCAGCTGTGGTATTTGGAAAGCCTTGCCTCTCCCAAATACCTTCTGTCTCTGGCAGCTCCGTGTAAAGTTCAGGAATGGTCAATGCTGAGCTTTTAATTGCTGTAGCCACCGTCCCCACAGACCCAAGACCCAGTGATGTGCATTTCTTGCCTCCATGTCCATGGGTTATTTTCTATCTACTCTGTTCTATTATCCTGCTTCATTCACAGATGTCGTAGATGCTGTTCTGAAAAATTTTGTTCTGAGCTGTGAGCTTAATCATTCCCATAGGGGTTCTCTTTTCTAATAATGGTCATAATTGTCACAATAGTATCACTTATGAACTGGCTGAGGTATTATTATAAACAAGAAAAATTTTACCTGGCTTACTTACATAAAGCATGGGAGTAAACAAACTGAATTTATGGGAAGTGCATTGGAAATATTACAAAATCAAAAAAAGCCTGGAGAAGCAGCCTTTGTAGAACAGCAGCAGAAACACAATGGTGATAAAACCACAAAAATAGTTTGTTGGTATGGCCTGCTGCCACCACTGCGTAGTCTACTGCTGGACGATGAACTTTACCCCTGCTCTAAATTACATCTGGCTTTCCTGGTCTCTTTGAGTCACTCCTTCTAAATTCAAAGATGAAAAGTCCCAACTTGCCAAGATTACCAATCATGTCTATGCCTTAACTTTTAAGATAAAAGATGAAACTCTACTGTTTATTTTAGTACCAAAATTTGCAAGTTTTCTAACTCTAACAAAGACTTATTCATGAAGTTTAATTGCTGAGTCACCAAAATAGCACAAATGTGCTTTATACCTTCTCACTAAGACTAAATGCATACTGCATCTAAGGCCAGAGCATAACATCTCCATTTAGTCTGACAGGACCTTGCATTTTGTTCTGTCAGAATTTGAGACACGTATTCATGCCTCGACAACTATACCACTAGAATGGCAAACTAGCAGGTATTATTAGAGCCACCCCATTCAGACTAAAGTAAAACACTAAAATGTCTAAGAACAAATTCTCATCTACAGGGCCGAACCAGTCTTTAGCGGCATATTAAATGGTAGCAAACATAATGCAGAAAATCATGGGCACTATCTCAGAACTAACTGTATCTGTTCTAATGTACTAAAGATATTTATTTTTAAAAGACTAATTTTCTTTTATTTTTAACTCCTTTCTCTGTAAGCTTTCCAATAACTTATTCTATCTAAAATGTTTATGCTACTGTGGTAGTATTTATTAAATAATCAGTATATGTCAGACATTTTTCCAAATCTTTCATTGGAATTGTTTAGTTGCAAAACTAATTTATCAATTTTTACTATCTCCATTTTAGAGTTTGGGTAACTGAGCTAAAGAGAACTTAATGTACACATGCATGCACATGTGTGTATAGATGTAGAGAGAGGGGAAGAGAGAGACAAAAGGAGATTAAGGGAAACTCAAACACAACTGTGTTTGTGATATAGTAAGGTTATAAAAGATTCTTGAGCTAAAATGACAATTCAATATTGTCAAAGCCAAATTTGATTTATAAAATACCAAATCATCTCTTAGAAACCACTGTGAGAAGGTAGACAGGAAATATCTGCATATCCCAGCACTTCAATGTTCAACTGTCTCAACCATAAAAAATTTAATAAACACAACCAAAAAATGGCAGTTTGACATTTTTTGAGTTTCACAGCACAGAAGTAATTCTGCACAGAATGAATTAGATTCAGGGAAACTGTTGTTATAAGAAATCATTGATTAATGGATTTTATACTAAGATGATTGGTTTCTCTGGCTTTTCTCAGGATGATTCATCGGTTGGCTGCCCACATCAGGTATTTTGGAGCACAGTGTTCTCTCATTGAAAATCACTCTTTTTCTGAAAGCAGACATGATGGTCACTTAGCAAACAGTTTAAAATTTGCCGCTGTGTTTGCCACTGAAATTGTCTTTGGTAGCAAGTTAAAAAAAATGGATGCAGTTGTCTCACTGGGGTATTGTCATTTTCTTGGAGTACGTATATCATGTATCTAGACATCTCTCAGTAGAATGGCTGAATGATATTCAGTTTACATATTGATAAGAAATTTATTTAATTTGTAATGTCTGTTATTCAAACACTAAAATACAAGTTTGCTTAATTCAGTTTGTCTTACTTTTTCAAAGAACAGGGAATCACTTGCTAAATAACATTTCAAAATACAAAGAACAGAGAAGCAAGTAGAAAGCTAATAAAAATTTAAACTATTATGATGTATATTAAAATTTTTATTTGGTAGAAATGTATTAAAATTAGTTTTTGATAAAATATTTGATAAATGTCTGATTTCCACTAGAGATAATGGTTATTATATGTTTCTATAAAATAAATCATAAATGTCTTTGTAAAGAAAATATATATAAAGTAGCATATTTTCATTGAATGGTTAACCAATATATTTAAATAATATATTGTAAACCAGCAAATGGTATAACTTTTATTACTTATCTAAAAAGATATGACTAAATGATGGTAATTTTTAATCTAAGTGCTGTCCATGCCAGTTATCTAATTTTGTTTATACATTGAATCTAAGTTCTAGCATTTTTAAGAAGCTACAAATAAAAAAATCACATGTCTAATACTTACAGGAATCATTTATCAGAACCCAGATATTAAAACATTTGTAAAACAGTAGACAGATTACAAACAAATCACTGAAATA